CCCTCTAGAAACCTTCGGGGACCTCTGCAGGCGTCCACCTCCTCCTCCTCCTCCTCCTCCTCCTCCTCCTCCTCCTCCTCCTCCTCCTCCTCCTCCTCCTCCTCCTCCTCCCTCCTCCTCCCTCCTCCTCCTCCTCCTCCTCCTCCTCCTCCTCCTCCTCCTCCTCCGCCTCCTCCGCCTCCTCCGCTCCTCCTCCTCCTCCTCCTCCTCCTCCTCCTCCTCCTCCTCCTCCTCCTCCTCCGCCCTCCTCCTCCTCCTCCTCCCCTCCTCCTCCTCCTCCTCCTCCTCCGCCCTCCCTCCTCCTCCTCCTCCTCCTCCTCCTCTCTCCTCCTCCCTCCTCTCCTCCTCCCTCCTCCTCCTCCTCCTCCTCCTCCCTCCTCCTCCTCCTCCTCCTCCTCCTCCTCCACCTCCACCTCCTCCTCCACCTCCTCCTCCTCCTCCTCCTCCTCCCCTCCTCCTCCTCCTCCTCCTCCTCCTCCTCCTCCTCCTCCTCCTCCTCCTCCTCCTCCTCCTCCTCCTCCTCCCTCCCCTCCTCCTCCTCCTCCTCCTCCTCCCTCCTCCCTCCTCCTTCCTCCTCCTCCTCCTCCTCCTTCCTCCTCCTCCTCCTCCTCCTCCTCCTCCTCCTCCTCCTCCTCCTCCTCCTCCTCCTCCTCCTCCTCCTCTCTCCTCCTCCTCCTCCTCTCCTCCTCCTCCTCCTCCTCCTCCTCCTCCTCCTCCTCCTCCTCCTCCTCCTCCTCCTCCTCCTCCTCCTCCTCCTCCTCCTCCTCTTGCTTTTCCTCTTCGAAAGTTGTCTGTAGTCTTCGCGATTATTCTCTGCCTTTTCCTGAAGCCCTGGGCGAGCTTCGAAGATTGCAACCCGTTTTCGGCGGTTTCAGGGTCGACGTGTTCTAGTGGCTCCGCAGGTGAGGATAAGATAAAGACAGGGGCCGAAGACTCCGGACCACGCCTGAGATTCGTCGCTGCCCGCGCGGCCGCGTCCTCCGGCAGGCACCCCGCCCAGAAGGTCGAGCAAGCACTGCCAGTCTCGCCGCCTAGGTGCCCCAAGATGGCCCTCCGAGGTCCGCGGAGGGAGGAGAGAGGAACAGAAGCAGCACTGGCAGGCGGAGGAAGGGGGGAGTGGAGGAGAGTAGGCGGAGTGACGTTCACATCTACGGAAGCCCACTTATATGAGTCACGATGTTGGCGGACTGGCAGCAAACAGCGGCAGACAGCTGCAAATAGCGGCAGCCGACTGGCACCAAGTTGCGACACGCGCCCCGCGCAAACCATCCACTGATCACCCCTTATTCGCCGCTAGATTCAACTAAAACTCAAACAACTAGCCTGGCGAAGGACCCGACCATATGCAGTTGCGAGCACCGTCGTTGTATGCACCGAATTCGAAGAGCTCCCCATAGGGCCAGGAAACGTGTGAGAGGCGTACCAAAATTTGCGCGGTGGGCGCATGCGAAAGCAGCCACTGGGGCCGTCGGTGGAATTCCCTATGGGGCCACGAAACGTCTGAGTGGTGTGCCAAAATAAATGCGATGGGCGCATGCGAACGCAGCCACTGGGGCCGTCGGTGGAGCTCCGTATGGAGCCGCGAGACATGTGAGGTGTGTGCCAAAATGGGTGCGGTGGGCGCATGCGAACCCGCAGCCACCCGGGCCGTCGGTAGGGTTCCCTATGGGGCCACGAAACGTGTGAGGGGTGTTGGCGCGGTGGGCGCTTGCGAACGCAACCATTGGGGTTGTCGGTGGAGCTCCCTATGGGGCCACGAAACGTGCGAGGGGCATGCCAAAACAGATGCGGTGGGCATATACGAACGCAGCCACTTTGGCCGTCGGTGGAACTCCCTGTGGGGCCACAAAACATGTGAGGGGTGTGCCGAAATGGGCGCGGTGGGCGCATGCGAGCGCAGTGACTGGGGCCGTCTGTGGAGCCCCCTTTATGGGGCTACGGAACGTGTAAGGGGTGTGCCGAAATGGGCGCGGGCTCATGCGAACGCAGCCACTGGGGCCGTCGGTGGGACCCCCTTTATGGGGCCACGAGGCGTGTGCGGGGTGTGCACCAATGGGTGCGGTGGGCGCATACAACCGCACCCAGTGGGGCCGTCGGTGGAGCTCCCCATAGGCCACGAAACATGTGCGGGGCGTGCCAAACATGGGCTCGGTGGGCGCATGCGAACGCAGCCACTGGGGCCGTCGGTGGAGCTCCCTGTGGGGCCACGAAACGCGTGAGGGGTGTGCCAGAACGGGCGCGGTGATGCCATGCGAACGCAGCTACTGGGGCCATCAGTGGAGCTCCCCATAGGGCCACGAGACGGTGGAGGGGTGTGCCAAAATTTGCGCGGGGGGCGCATGCGAACGCAGCCACTGGGGCCGTCAGTGAAGCTCCCTATCCTGTGGGGCAACGAAACGTGTGAGGTGTGTGCCTCAATGGGCGCGGTGGTGCCATGTGAACATAGCCACTTGGGCCTTCGGTGGAGCTCCCTGTGGGGCCAGGAAAAGAGGGAGGGTGTGCCGATTGGTGCGATGGTGCCATGTGAACGCAGCAACCGGGGCCGTCGGTGGAGCTCCCTAAGGGGTCTCGAAACGTGTGAAGGGTGTGCCGGGGTGTGCCGAAATGGGCGCGGTGGTGCCGTGCGGGCGCAGCTATTGGGGCATTCGGTGGAGCTCCCTAGGAGGCCACGAAACGTGTGAGGAGTGTGCCGACATGGGCGCGGCGCGGTGGTGCCATGCGAGCGCAGCCACTGGGGCCCTCGGTGAAGCTCCCTCTGGGGCCACGGAACGTATGAGGGGTGTGCCAAATGGTCGCGGTGGTGCCATGCGAGCGCAGCCACTGGGGCCATAAGGCCACGAAACGTGGGCGGAGCGTGCCAAAAGTGGACTCGGTGTGCCATGCGAACGCAGCCACTGGGGCCATCGGTGGAGCTCGCCATAGGGCCACGAAACGTGTGAGGGGTGTGCCGAAATGGGCGCGGTGGTGTCATGCGATCGCAGCAACTGGGGCCGTCGGTGGAGCTCCCTAGGAGGCCACGAAACGTGTGAGGAGTATGCAGACATGGGCGCGGTGGTGCCATGCGAGCGCAGCAGCTGGGGCCGTCGGTGGAGCTCCCTATGGGGCCACGAAACGTGTGAGGGGTGTGCCGAAATGGGATGGGCATGCTGAGAGCAGGGGCAGGGAGGGGAGGAGGGAGGAGGGGGAGAAGGGGGGGGAGGGGGAGGAGGAGAGGAAGGAAGGAAGGAAGGCGGGGCGCTGTCTCTTCAAAACGAGGACCCAACACCACAGGATGGTTGGGAAATAAAACTTTCAGTGAAAGTATACGATGCATCGACACAAGCCTAAGCGGAGGAGCAGCAGCAGCAGCAGCAGCAGCAGCAGCAGCAGCTTAAGCGGCATAAGCGTCAGCAGGAGCAAAAGCGGCAGGAGCAGAAGAAAGAGGACGGCACCAGCGAGAGCACTGCCTGCTGAGGCGCGGGCGAAGGCAGGGTCCCGCAGCAACCTGAACGGCTCCGTGAGGACCCACCGTGCCAGAGGCCGTGGGACAGCCAGAGCCCGGTCCGCGCCCTCGATGTAACCCGCCTGCGGCGTCAGGGACTGGCCGTTGTCTGGGAGAACCACGACGCGCTGCGGGTCTCTGGGCAGATGAGGTAACGGCGACACGTGCAAGAGATCTAGGCGTTGGAGACGGCCAGGGGTCTGAATTGTTTGGGACCCCAGAAAGTTGGTCGGGGGCATGGGAGATGCAACCAAATCCGCTCAAAATCGATCCCGAGCCTCCCAGGATCCACCTGGTGTAAATTTTCACCCCCGATCAGGTTTTCACTGTCCCCAGAACCTCGAACCTGCCCGCCCTTCCTGTTGGTCAGAACCAGTGCTGGGCCACCTCAGACCCCAGACGGCTCCAGTCTGGGCGAAGCAGAACCACCCAGCCGAAGGAAGTGCCAGCGCGCCGCTCCTCGTCCTCCACGAGCTGCGCGCAGCGCGCGTACGCGCGCAGCTGTCGCACCCACTTGCGCCGGCCGCTGTGCTCGCCGACCTCGCCATGCCACCACTCCTCCTCCGCGTACGCTGCCTCTGAACATCGTTTAACCGATCCCTCTCCCCACGGGCGTGGCCTAGGCCCCACTGGCCGATTTACCCGCCCTAGATGGAGAGTTCCCTTCGAGGGGTATATCCCCAACTGGGTGGTGGGATGGTGGGGATTGGGATGGGGATGTGGATGGTGACAAGGATCGGTTAAGCGATGCTGGGCCTCCTCGACGGCCAGATCACCGTCGCCTGGGTCGTCGCGCAGCTCCACCCGAGCGACGTCCGCCTCCAGCGGGCCCTCGCCGCCGCCCACCAGCGGACAGCGAACCGACGCCAGGGCTGCACGCAGCGCGCGCGCCACCCCCAGCTCGTCCGAGGCCGGGAAGCTCGGGGGGGGACCTGCAGCCAGGACGAAGATCAGCGCCAGGCGCTGGGCAGCGAGGGCACACAGCCCAGTGAGCAGCTGCAAGGCCATCGGCACCAGGCGGCCGCCCGCCATCGACCGCGGCTGCCCGACGACACAAGCGGCCACCACAGGCCCCTGGGCGGCCAGGGCGGCAGCCGCAGAGCGAACTGGCATGGCCAACTCGGCCCGCGCCCACGTGCCCGGGGGCGCGGCGACGGCCGCGGACGCGCTCTGCCGGCAGAGCGCAAGCGCCCCGCGCAGGAGAGCCATCTCGCAGCGCTGTGGCGCTGCGGCTGGCCCGCTGCCGCCCGCCGACCCGGCGCCCAGCAGCTCGAACGACCGCCTCAGCCTGTCCTGGCGGCGAGGCCCCAGGACATCCCCCGCGGCAGCTGGCTAGACACCTCTGGGCCGACTGCTCGAGGAGGTCGATGCGGGACGCCTCCAGGAAGCGAGACGGGAGAGGCCTTCTGAGTTCTGGGGCAAGGCCCCCTGGAGGGCCCAGCCGCCCTTCCTGGCCCCGCGGATATTCTGCAGGAGGAGGACGGTTCAGAGAAGCCAGACCCTGGCCGCCCGGCTGTCCTTAGCCAGCCGCAAGCCCACCGCCCTGCGCCAAGCCGCAGCGCTCCACAGTGCCGCCCTCAGGCCTCGGGGGAGGAATAGCAGGGCCCACACCGAGCATGTGGGGGCATGGCGGTGGAGGTGCACACTTCCCCAGGCCTCCGACAAACTGACTGTTCCCGCGCACGGGGTTCTGGACTCCAGACCTCTCGACCCCCACCAATCGCACTGAATTCGCGCAGTGGGCGGGTCTCACCGTGGGCCCTCCGGAGCCCGAAACGGGAGCCCAGGGGTGGTGGCGGCTACAGGCGTCGTGCTGCTTCCATGAGGAAAGCTGAACAAGGAACCAAAGAGGCCCTCTGGCCACGGCGAGCACCGGCCGAGGATGAGATCCCCGACCTAGAACGTCTGAGGAAGGGCACGATAGCCAGAGCCCCTCCTGAGCCCAAAGCGATCACGACTTCAGCGTCTTAGACTGAGGGGCAACGTCAAGGGAGGACAGGCTCATGGGGGGAGAGGAGCTGGAATCGACGGGACATCGCCCATAGAGCGGCGACAGGCCCCCGATGCCGAAACCGCAGTCCTGGGCGGGGTGGGCTATCGGGCCCCTATCGGCGATCAATGGGCGATTGGGGGTCGATGCATCACCCTCTGAGCCTACCCCCCTAACGTTGCACGTGATCCACACACACACACACTGGCCGTCTGACGCACTCGCTGGTGGCTGCTTGGACCCTTGTGGGTTCCAACGAATCGCTGCGACTTCCTGCCCCAACCGTGGAGTTCCACGCGCACAGTATTCAGCCCCCACCCAGACACACAGGATTAAACCCCCACCCAGACACACACACACACACACACACACACACACACACACACACACACACACACACACACACCACACACACACACACACACACACACACACAAGCACACACACACACACACTCATGCTGCATGCATGCATGCATGCATGCATGCATGCAGGCAGGCAGGCAGGCAGGCAGGCAGGCAGCAGCAGCAGGCAGGCAGGCAGGCAGGCAGGCAGGCAGGCAGGCAGGCAGGCAGGCAGGCAGGCAGGCAGCAGGCAGGCAGGCAGGCATACATACATACATACATACATACATACATACATACATACATATATTACATACATACCTACATGCATGCATTCACTACCTACCTACCTACCTACCTACCTACCTACCTACCTACATACATACATACATACATACATACATACATATAGATACACCTACATACATACATACATACATACATACATACATACATACATACATACATACATACATACATACATACATACAGACAGACAGACAGACAGACAGACAGACAGACAGACAGACAGACAGACAGACAGACAGACAGACAGACACACATACACACATTCACACATACATACATAAACGCACACATACATGCATGCATGCATGCATACAAACATACATACATGCATACACACACATGCACGCACACATACATGCATACATGCATACATACATGCATGCATGCATACATACATACATGCATGCAGATACGTACATACATACATACATACATACATACATACGTACGTACATACATACATACATACATGCATGCATGCATGCATGCATGCATACATACATACATGCATACATACATGCATGCATGCATGCATACATACATACCAACACATATACATACACATTTACATACATACATGCATGCATGCATACATACATGCATGCATGCATGCATAGATACATACATACCCACACAGATACATACACCTATACATACATACATGTATGCATACCTACATACATACATACATACATACATACATGCATACATACATACATACATACATGCATACATACATACATACATGCATGCATACATTCATACATGCATACATGCATGCATGCATGCATGCATGCATGCATGCATACATACATACATACACACATATACATACATATATAAATGCATGCATACATATATGCATACATGCATACTTACATGCATGCACACACATATACATGCATACACACGTACGTACGTACGTACATGCAGACATACATACATATATGCACACACTCCCACACATCCGTACGTACATGCATGCATGCATATATGCATGCATGCAGACATGCAAGCATACATACATACATACATACATACATACATACATACATACATACATACATGCATACATGCATGCACATACACTCACACACACACACATACATACAAACACACAATCACACATACAGTGCACACATGCATACATGCATACATACATACATACATACATACATACATACATACATGCAGACAGACAGACAGACAGGCAGGCAGGCAGGCAGACAGACAATGCATGCATGCATGCATGCATGCATGCATACACACTTGTTGGTCAGCGGCAAAGGCGGACGCCAACGCGGTCGGTCAGCCGGCGATCAGCGGTCAGGCAGAGGCACACTAGACAAGTGGAAAGGGGAGGGCGGCCACGGAGGGGGGAACGCGGGGGGAAACCCCAGGCGTAGAAAATCTTCGCCACGAGGAGTGCGCGGGCGGCCTCAGGCACCAAAAAAGAGCGCACTGGAAGGTGAGCGGCCAGTGCGATCTGCCAAAGGAGAGGACACACACACACACATCTTAAAAAACAAGAGGTCCCACAGAAGTTCCACAAATTCGGTGGCTGCGGATCGACGCTGGTGACCGAAGCTAATCGACGCTAGTCGTCGCCAACTCGACGCTTATCGACGCTAAACCGACGCTGGCCAACGCTAAGTCGACGCTTCCATATGGACTATCACACGCTAGTGCACGCTAACGCACTCTCAAAACTGAATCACGAGGACACGGAAACGGCTCCCATGATTTCTACGACCAAAAAAACAGGCTCCACAGAGGTTCTACGAATAAGCTGCTCGGGGCTCACGCCTGAGGCCGCCTCCGCGCCTGTCCTTTGAGGCGCTCGGCCGTCGTCATCGGCCACGGCGTCGGCGTGGGTCGGTCGGACGGTCGGTCGGTCGATCGGTCGGTCGGTCGATCGGTCGGTCGTGGTCGCCGTCGTCGTCGCCGTCGTCGCCGTCGCCGTCGTCGTCGTCCTCCCGAGGGGCCCTGCAGCCCCAGCGAGGCGAGCACCGTCGCGCGGAGCAGGTCGCCGCGCCTGCCGGGCGGCGGCTCCGCCCGCCCGGCCGCCCGCCCGGCCGTGGCGTTCGGCCCCCGGACGCCTGCGGCCGCGGCCTCGGGCGGTCGCCGCAGAAGGGCGGCCCCGAGCGGCCCGAGCGGCGAGGCCGATCTCCGCGGTGCATGCCCCTGGTAAGACGAAGCCAGGCTCGGCGAGGGCATCCTTCCCTCCTCCTCCTCCTCCTCCTCCTCCTCCTCCTCCTCCTCCTCCTCCTCCTCCTCCTCTCCTCTCCTCCTCTCCTCCTCCTCATCCTCCTCCTCCTCTCCTCCTCCTCCTCCTCCTCCTCCTCCCCCTCCTCCTCCCCCTCCTCCTCCTCCTCCTGCTCGTCGACCTGTTGCCCCTCGTGTCCCCGTTGCTCCCCGTGCTGGGCGCCGACTCCCTCTCCCGTCTGGCGCAGAGTGCGACCTCGTCGGAGGCGCCCAGGAAGCGCTCCGCGGCCGCGGAGGCGGCCAGGAGCCCGCCCACGCGTGCGAGGGAACGAGCGTGCCGAAGACACGGTGCAAGGGTGGCGCGTATGGGGCAGCTCTGCTGGGGCACAGGGGGCTTGAGAGCGCTTACCGCCGATCGGCAGCGAGCGAGGGGGGGAAGCGAGAAGGAGAAGGCCTTCTCAGGAGGCGGCGGGACTTCTCGGAAGCCCTCGCGCCTTTTGATGGGTTTCTGATGTCGTTTGGGAAGGCTTGGAAAATTTCTCGGGAGGCCAGAGGACTTCCGAGCCTTCTGAGAAGGCCCGCCCCTTTAGACTTCCCCCCGAGGCTCGCCGCCGAACCGAGGCCACACCCAGTTCGGAAAGTCTGAGGCGAGCGCCCACATCTTGCCGCGCCACGAGATACCAAACAGTTCGGCAGCGCTGGAGAGGGCATCATCTCCGCAAATCTTGACCTGTGGCAGCTCATGGGGCACCGAGGGACACGCTCCAGTGCCATACGTTTCTGTTGGGGGCGCCCGTCCGGACCGAGCCGGACCGAATATGTCGCCACTTTGGAGGCGACGCAGAGGTGGTGTTAGCATGTTTAGGTAGCGCCAAACTCCCGGGGGCCTCCCGTGCCATCTTATTGGCCCTCGCGAATCGACGCTAACCGGCCCTTATCGACGCCGTTCGACATCAATCAGAGCTAAATCAACAGCAATCGACGCTAAATCAACGATTTCCCGTCAATTGCCAGACGCTAGCGAAGGCCAACGCAATCTAAGGACGGAGTTCCGAGGGCAGGCAAGGCTCCCAGGCGTTGCTGCCGAAATCCTGCAAGCCCAGACATGCTCGCCCCGTGAAAAAGTCACAACACGAGGCTTCTGGACGTTTTCGGCCGCCCGAGGCCCTCGCCAGGCCCCTGGACCGTCAAAGGACGATGCGGTAACCCGTATTCACAAAAATTCAAACATCGGCTGGGACTCGTCCTTCGGGTAGTGGCAGGAAGCTTGCAGCACACGGCCGGATCCACGTGCTGGATGTGCGGAAATGCCGCGCTCTAGGCACACGTGCGGAAGGCTGACGTGACTGCCCAGTCACACGAGAGCCGAGAGCCGAAAAGGCATGGGACCACGCGCGTATCCAGCCGTCGCCCAGGTCGGCCACGTCACGTGTTTCTGGCTTCCATGCAGCATATCGCAGCGTTGTAGCGCCAGGCATCGCGTAGGATGTAATCCGCCACCGTGCCTGCACGATGTGGGACTGTGCGCTGTCTGGTAGGGTCCCTGAATTCTAACAAGTGACCCCCCCTCTACTTGCGAAGTGGGCCGTGCATCCCCCCCTCCCGAGGCCACGATCCCTTGTAAAAAAACTACACATCCGCGCTCCCGAGGCCACTATCCCTCGTTAAGCAAATCATGGATCCGCGTCCCGAGCTTCCAAGACGATCCATGCAGGCAAACAAGGGCTCAAAGATGGCCAAAGATGCCTCGAAGACGGACCAAGATGGCCCCAAGGCTGTCGAACATAGCCTTAAGACGGCCCAAGATGACTCCAAGAGGACCCAAAAGAACCACAAGAGGGCCTCCATCAGGGTCCCAAGAAGCCAAAAGCATTGATTGTGCTTAGGGTTGTTTACATGATGCTCGCATTCTTACCTTTTCGGGCATCCGTCAGCTCAAGACGACCAAAGATGGCCCCAAGACGGCCCAAGAGGCCACCACGAGGGTCCAAAGATGGCCAAAGAGGACCACACAAGAACCCAAGAGACACCCAGGACGGCCCCAAGACGGCCCAAGAGAGCCTCCCGTGGGACCGAAGACGGCCTGAGAAGGCCCTTCGACGGCCCAAGACGGCGCCAAGGCGGCCGCACGATGGCCCCCAGACACCCACCTTACTTACGGCCAAGCGGGCCCCAAGACGGCCCAAGAGGACCCTAAGACGGCCCAAGAGGTCCTCAAGGAACCTCCAAGATTGCCTCACAGGAGGCCAAGACAGCCCCTAGACTCCCCAAACGCGTTCCACGAGAGCTCCTCAAATAGTGAAAACGAAAGTGTCATATGTGGCCTGTTCCTCCTCCTCATCATCCTAGACGTCATCATCATCGTCATAGTACTCCTCCTCATCCTCATCCTCATCATCATCATCATCATCATCATCATCATCATCATCAGCAGCAGCAGCAGCATCATCATCAACATCACCATCACCATCATTCTCACAATCCACCCCACCTCATCATCCACATCACGGCTCTCTCAAGCCTGGAGACAGGAAATGTCACGTGTGACGGCTTCCCGTGCCCCCTCGAATAGTCGCCACCCTGAATACTGGTCTGGGACACTGGCGGGACTTGCCGCAGGCAGCTGGATGGCCTTGAATAGCGTAGCAGCGCATAGCGCTTGCGTAACGTAGCATGGCATCGCCGTGCACTGTAATTGTAGTGCGGTATAGTACACTGCACAGCATAGCATAGCGATAAGTGGCGTGGTATTGCATCGCGCATTACAGCATACCAACACACGTAATCAAATTGCGCCTCGCACCATTGCATCGCGTAGCGTCAAGCGAAACTGGATAATACTGAATCTCATTACAGCATATCGAATACCATAGCACAACATCGCGCCCAAGTGCAAGCCGGGCATGGCATAGTGCAGCACCACATGTACCAACAAAGCAAGCAACACACAAGCAGCGCAAGACAAAGAAATGCATTGCAAAACACGTCACACCAAAACAATGCAACTTGAAACCACGGAATCCCTCGGGACCCGACGGGAATGGATCCCGTCGCAGCAGCCTTATTGCACAAGAAGGACTGGAATACATGAGGGAAATATTTATTGGAAAAGACTGAATAAGGCAGGGCCTGAGAAAGTGGCCAGGACTGGCGAGGTACGAGCCAGGGCCAGCCAACAGGCACCTGGACAGGAACCAGCCAAGGCCAGAAAGAAGAAGAATACCCTGGCGAAGGGCCGAGCAAGATGCAAGTGTGAGCACCGCAAGGCAGGCGGGACAAGGGAGGGGGATCCCCCCATGGGGCCACAAAACGTGTTTGGGTTGCGCCGAGATGGACGGTGAGCCGCGTGTGGACGCACCCACTAGGGACAAACCGTGTAAAGGGTGCGCCGAAATGGAGGGGAACCGCTGCTGTCGCACCTACTGGGGCCTCTGTCAGATGGAGCTCCCCATGGGGCCACGAAACGTGTGATGGGTGTGCCGAGCTGGACTCGGGGACACCATGCGGTACCACCCCCTGGGGGCTTCGGTGGAGCTTTTTACGGGGCCACGAAACGGGTGAGGGGTGTGCCGAAATGGGCAGGGGGACGCTATGCGGTAGCACCTCCTGGGGGCTTCGGCGAAGCTCACTATAGGGCCACGAAACGTGTGAGGGGTGTGCCAAATTCGGCTGGGGTGCGCGATGCGATACCACCCGCTGGGTGGTTCGGTGGAGCTCCCTTGGGGGCCACAAATATGGTCTGCCGAAATTGGCCGGGGAACGGAGGAGAGAAAGGGGGAGGCAGGGCGGGAGAAGACGCGGGGCGCTGTCTCTTCAAAACGAGGGCCCAACACCACAGGACGGTTGGGAAAAATTGACCCGGGGCAAAGGGCCGAGAGGTCCAGTGGCCCGCGTCCCGAAACAATCCAGCCGCGCCTGGTCCTGCTCCCACCCTCTGCAAGGCACTGCCCCACCTGTCAGGGCCCTGCCGCCGCAAGCCCGCGGCGAGGCCCGTGAGCAGTGCCTGGCCAGGGAGGCACGCACCTCCATCCCAGGCCCCAGGTGCATCGGCGCGGCCCTCCTGCTCCCGGGGCGGCGGCGGGCAGCGCCGGCGAGGCACGACGCGACACGGGGCCACTGCTCGACACCGAGGCGACCGGGGTGCGGGCGGGGCGAACGGCCGTGGGCGGGGCGAGCGACAGCGGGAGCGCGCCCCGCAGGCCTCCGCCGCCGCCAGGGAGTCCGCCGCCGCCCGCCAGGCGCCGCAGTCGGCGGGCCCGTACGCGCCGAGGCCGTCGCTGCGGTCGCGTTCGGTCGCTCTCTCGCTCCCTCTCTCGCTCCCTCTCTGGAGGGAGGGCGGCCCCGAGGGCAGGCGCACGGCTCCAACGTCCTCCTCCTCCTCCTCCTCCTCCTCCTCCTCCTCCTCCTCCTCCTCCTCCTCCTCCTCCTCCTCCTCCTCCTCCTCCTCCTCCTCCTCCTCCTCCATCCTCCTCCTCCTCCTCCTCCTCCTCCTCCTCCTCCTCCTCCTCCTCCTCCTCCTCCTCCTCCTCCTCCTCCTCCATTCCTTCTCCCCATAAATCACGTCTCCCTGCCGCACCCCGAGGCCAGTTTTTAGGGCGGGCCGGGCGTTTCGCCTGAGACTTCCTCACTTCCAATGACCCTGAAGCTTAAACATTGACAACAATTTCACAGATAGAGGGCGGCTGGTTTTCAAAATGTGGCTCTCGCCCTAGCGCCGCGCACACTCGTTTTCAAAAGTTGCAAGAGTTTCACGGATTGAAGGCGGGTGCTTTTCAAAATGTGGCTCTCGCCTGGGCGCCGCGCACATTCATTTTCAAAATTTGCAAAAGCTTCACGGATTGAGGGCGGGTCGTTTTCAAAATGTGGCTCTCGCCTGGGCGCCGCGCACATTCGTTTTCAAAAATTGCAAGAGTTGGGACGGATTGAGGCGGTTCCTTTTCAAAATGTTGCTCTCGCCTTAGCTCCGCGCACACTCGTTTGAGAATTATCAGGAAAAATACAGAAAGTCTCGCGGGTTCCCATGAACGACGTACCAGAAATGGTGTTTTGGAAGGATTCACGATTATGAGGGCGCAACAGTCATGATGATTCGCGGCGTTGTCAAGACACAACAATCAGGCGTACCCGTGGCGGTGGGATACCGAGAACAATGTTTTGGCATGCTTCAGGGTCTTCAATCGGTTGCCTTCCAACGAGGCAGATCCCTCTGTGGAAATGAGCCACTGTAAGGGCCTATGAAGAGGGAGCTTGGGGGGATGGCTTATTACAACATCATTGGTGACTCTTGGGTTTACACTGGTCCTCCCCATCCTCCTCCTCCTCCTCCTCCTCCTCCTCCTCCTCCTCCTCCTCATCATCATCATCATCATCATCATCATCATCATCAACCTCATCATCCTCATCAGCATCATCATCAGCATCATCATCACCAAAATCATCAGCAGCAGCAGCATCATCAAGAGCATCAGCATCATCAGCATCAGCATCATCATCATCATCATCAGCAGCAGCAGCAGCATCAGCGTCATCCTCATCAGCATCAGCATCATCATCAGCAACATCATCATCCTCCTCATCAGCAGCATCATCATAATCATCTGCGTCATCGTCATCATCATCATCGTCGACCTCCTCCTCCTCCTCATCATCATCTTCCTGCTACTTTTCCTCCTGTTCCTCCTCCTCCTCCTCCTGCTCCTCCTCTTCCTCATCATCATCCTTCTCCTCCTCCTCCTCGACATTATCCTCCTCTTTGTCCTCCTCCTCCTCCTCCTCCTCCTCCTCCTCCTCCTCCTCCTCATCATCATCATCATCATCATCATCATCATCATCATCATCATCATCATCATCATCATCATCATCATCATCATCATCATCATCATCATCATCATCATCATCATCATGGTCATCCTCGTCTTCCTCCTCCTACTCCTGTTCCTTCTCCTCCTATTATTCCTCCTCCTCCTCCTCCTCCAGTCCTTCTCCGTGTAAATTACTTCTCCCTGTCGCACCCAGAGGCCAGTTTTTAGGGCGGGCGGGGCGTTTCGCCTGAATCTTCCCCACCGCCCATGACTCTGAAGTTTAACAATTGACAACAATTTCACAAAAGGAAAGCGGCTGGTTTTCAACATGTGGCCCTCGCCTTAGCGCCGGGCGCGTTCGTTTTAAAAACTTACAGGAGCTTCACGAATTGAGGGCGACTGGTTTTCAAAGTGTGTCTCTCGCCTTAGCGCCGCGAACATTTGATTAAAAACATTAGCCTTGCGAAGGACCCGACCAGATGCAGCTGCGAGTGCCTCATTGTGGGTACCGCTTCCGGTGGAACTCCTTATGGGGCCACGAAACGTGCGAAAGATGCGCCGACATCGGTGGCGCAAACGCATGTGGACACCGCCAGTGGGGCCTTCGGTGGAGCTCCCTATGGGGACACGAAACGTTGTCTTGGGTGGGGGAAACACATGCGAACTGCGCCATTGGGATCGTCGCTTGAGCACCTTGTGGGGCCACGAAACGCTGTCAAGTTGGGGGAGACGCATGCGAACTGCGCCGCTGCCCATGTCGGTGGAGATCCCTATGGGGCCACGTCCTGGGTGGCGCTGAGCATGCGGACCCTGCCACTGGAGCCTTCGGTGGAGCTCCCGATGGGGCCACGAAGCGCTATCCTGGGTGGCGTTGGCGCATGCGGACCCTGCCTCTGGAGCCTCCGGTGGGGCCCCCCATGGGGCACGAAGCGCTGTCTTGGGTGGCGTTGGCGCATGCGGACCCTGCCTCTGGAGCCTTCGGTGGAGCTCCCTGTGGGGCCACGAAACGCTGTCCTGAGCAGCGTTGGCGCATGCGGACCCTGCCACTGGAGCCTTCGGTGGAGCTCTATATGGGGCCACGAAACGCTGTCATGGGTGGCGTCAACGCACGCGGACCCTGCCACTGGAGCCTTCGGTGGGGACACGAAACGCTGTCCTGGGTGGCGTTGACGCACGCAGACCCTGCCACTAAAGCCTTCGGTGGAGCTCCCTGTGGGGCCACGAAACCCTGTCCTGAATGGCGCTGACGCACGCGGACCCTGCCACTGGAGCCTTCGGTGGAGCTCCCCATGGGGCCACGAAACGCTGTCCTGGGTGGCGTTGACGCATGCGGACCCTGTCACTGGAGCCTTCGATCGAGCTTCCTCACAGGTTTTGGAAATCGGACTGGAGACATCACCCTCACAGGCGCGCGGTCCGAGATCCCTGGGAGAGGCGCCTCTGCTCCGCGACGCAGTGAGTCGGCCTGTCAGGATCCAGCTCCACCAAGTCACACACCGCCCCAACCCAGTCCTGCCCGTGTGCCCGGGCCCTCGGAGCCGACAGCAGCCCCTTGTCCACCCCAGGGGCGTGGAGGAACATGGCCTCCTTCTCATGGTAGTTGAAGCCGCCCAGCACCATGACGGCGGAGCGCACGGGGCTGGCCGACGAGACCACCACCTCAGCCGAGATCCGCGCCTGCAGCCGATCTGCCACATCGGCGTCAAAGCTGAAGCTGCGAAGGCTGTAAGAGCACCAGCATCGGGCCATGCGACCTCGAGGCTTTCGCCCCGGCCTTGATCTGCAACCGCTGAACACTTCCCAGCACAATGCCCTCGTGGGAGGTGCGGCCAGCTGCCATAGCGCCACGAGTCTCTTGTCGTGAGAACCCAGCGATGAGACGCGAGATACCACCAGAACCATGACGGGGGAAAAAAGAGAAGGTATTCACTTGTTTGCACGAAGGATAGACCTGCTGATCGAGTTCCTCAACCGCGCCATGTACCTCGTGTCACACTATGACTGGATGGTGAGACAGAAGAGCCGCCAGCCGAGCACACTTGAGTTTACGAGTCGATGGGAAGATGGTGATGCAGAGCACGCGTGTTCCATGTCGTGAAGAGCGGCATCCCATGCACTGTAAATCTGCCACAGAACCTCATCAGAGGCGTGAATGATTCCATTGAAACGCGCCAAGACACTGTCCCTGTCCACACCCTGGCGACGAAAGCCTCGTCTGCTGATCTTCTCGGAGCCAATCTCGAACTAGACGAATAAAACGCCCTCCACGTAGATGATGGAATTCGCCTTGTCATGCTGATGCGTTCGTTCGGGTAGAGATCCTTCGCGATGTTGGCAAGGCGCTTGAACTGAATCTCACGCCAGACCATGCGAGCCGCCTTGTCGACGCCCACGAAGATCCTGGACGAGCCGCCCTCGATCGTGCCCACGTCAAACGAGCGCCAAATGCCGCCCGCCAGCTTGTGGGAGCCCCTCGCCAAATTCACCGTACGCACCGCCGCATTGGCGTCGCCCGACACTTGCATCACGAAGCGCCCGGTAGGCATCGCAACTTGAAGATACCACTGCTGCTCTGAAAGCCACGCGTCCTGCAGCCAGACAGCGAGATGCGCCGTGGCCTTCTCGAGCTCCGAATTGGCCGTAGTCGTGGCCACCAGGACCGTGCCATGTGGGTCCCGATCCCACTCCAACAAGCTGTCGTCGTCCCTGATGGGCACCGTTAACTCAGCGATGTACATCTCGCGTCGCAGCTGCTCCAACTGCGGGCGCATCTCCACTTGCTGAGCTTCAAAGCCAGACTGCCACTTCCGTAACTCCAATAGCTCGCCAAGTACCTGTGTGTTGACCTTCTCCTGCTGGGAGACCGCAGCTTTGATGAGCGTGCCCGTGTGGCCATTGACCTGGGAAACCAGCGCCTTCTTAGCGCCATCGAGCTTGACATCCACCGTGTCCATGAGGTCCTTCTTGAACCCTGCAAGGAGGATGTCCAGGGAGGAGTCCTGGGTGCCAGCGGAGCCCTGACCAGGTGTCTTTCCCGCGCGGGCTGAACCAGCCCATGGGTCTGCGGAGCCTTGAAGAGGGACAGCAGAGCGCTGACCAGCAGCAGCACGCCGAGCACCACTATGAGCGAGCTGCGACGGGCCGGCAGCTTCCCATGCCCCCCTGCCAGGGGCGACTTTGACCGAGAGTGTCTGCATGGTGGCGAATGTGACCCGCCGCAACCAGCCCGAGGCGTACCTGTCTTGGCAGCGGTGGGCCATCGCGAGGCCGCGGGGAGTGCTGACACGCACTGGGACCATCGCCGCCCTTAGGTGGCATCACAGGCTGGTCGCGCGCGGGAGGAAAGCCGGGCCGAAACGGCGTCGTGTGAAAAAATGGTTCGGAGTCTACCGAGGCCAGGGCAGGCCCACGACAGGATCGGATGTTGGTGTACCTGATCCCCGCTCGAGAGAGAGAGAGAGACGACAGATGGGCCAAAGCTAATCAGAGTCAGTTGTGTTACTTTCGCGTTCCCCGTGTAGCCTTGAGCCAAAAATGGCTGTGGACCTCCTCTTCCTCCTCCTCCTCCTCCTCCTCCTCCTCCTCCTCCTCCTCATCTTCCTCCTCCTCCTCCCCCCCTTCCTCTCTCAAACGCATCCCATTGGGTTTCCACAACGGCTGTGGGGGCCACATGTCCCAATACATTAGCGAAAAGTTCCAAAAGGCAGGGGGTCCGCCGCAGGCGTCTTCAAATAGCAGTGCAACGATTGTGTTAGCCTAGGGGGCGATCTATAGCTGCTTGAGCTCCCACGCAATGCGTAAAGCTGCCGCACAGCACTGGTTAGGATACTGTACTGGCGGCTGCGGCGTCAACACCAAAACAACGCAAGAAGCCATCACTTGGTAATGACACTAATCTTGCCAGTGCTCCAACGAAAAGAGACTGGGGAGAAGTTCAACTACGGCTACGAACACGATAGTGGAGAAGCTGGCGAAGCACAAGATTCGTGGACGCGCATGCAGCGGGTTAGGGGCACGAAACAAAAGAGAATGGTGGGAATCGTGGAGGCATTCATGTGTGCATGCCCGCGCACATGCATATACAGGTGCGCCGCACAAGAGCATTAAACGTGTCGAGCGCCGAAAGATTGGAGGGTCCTGAGCACGTCAAAGAAGACTGGCCATCCAGCGAGCACCAGCACAGCAGGGTCGGACACGCGCCGCAAGTATTCAACGACCCAGCTGGTAGCCTCTGGGCAAGGTAAAGAAGATATAGTGTAATGAGGAAGAAGATGGTAAAGACGAGACGAAAATGCAGGATTGTGTCAGGATTCTGACTGCAAGGAACAAGGATACGTGGACTAGAAGGTACGAGTAAACGATGGGTGAGCTCACCTTCGCCTCTCCCATCCTCTCCTCCCATCCCTTTCTAACCCCCCTGATCCTCACCATCCTCTTCCGCATCGTTATCCGAATAGGGTGGCGTATAAGAACCCTAACTCAATGCAAACAGAACTGGTTCACTGAAACCCCCCTACCCGGTCTAGCACCTGCAATCGTCGAACTATGCGCATGGCGCCCTCGGTATCCGCACGGTTTCCTCTGCTATCCGCCTGGTTCACTCTGTATCCGCATGGTTTCCTATGCTATCCGCATAGTCCCCTCTGTATCAACATGATTCCTTCTGCTATCCTAATGGCTTCCTGTAGCTCGTCCAATGGCGTCCAAACAATCGCCCAACAGTCCTCAAAACTATCCGCCTGGCGTCCTCTGTATCTGCATGCCTTTCTCTGATATCCGCACGGTTTCCTCTGTATCTGAATGGCTTCCTGTGCTATCCGATGGCGTCCCAACAATCGCCAAATAATCGCCAATTCTCAGGGTGAGTTAAAGTAAGGCAGAGCAGAGTAGGGTAGAGTAGAGCGGAGCAGAGCAAAACAGAAGAGTGAGTAGAGTCGAAAAGGGTAGAGTACGATAGGTAGAATGGAGCAGAACAGAGTAGATCAGACTAGTTTTAGGAAGAATAGTTTAGGAGTTGAATTGGGTAGAATAGGGTAGAGCAGAGCAGAGCCAGAGTACAGTAGAGTAGGGTAGAGTAGGGTAGATTCGGCAAGGCACAATAAGGCAGAGTAGATGGCAGAGTAGGTCAAGATATAATAGCAATATGGTAAAGCAAGGTACAGTAGAGTAGAGCAAAACAGATGAGAGTGGAATACAGAACAGTAGAATAGAGGAAAATATAATAGGAGCAGGAGTAGGAGGAACGGGGACAAGTTAGCCAGGTCGATCGAGTCAGAGGGGCCCGCCTATCTCCACCCTCCCTCCCACAGCATACGCCCCAGTTGTGGCACAAGCTGATCTTGGGATTGGAGAGCGTTCCCATCTCGCCAACGGGAGGCGCTCGCGCGCGACCCGCTTGCGACGACTTGGCGAAGGGCAAACTACGCGTGCCGCGCAAGGGCGGGAGCGGCAAAACTTCCAATGGGCGCGGCGAAACCGTCCCGGGATACCGCACAGCCGGCTACCCGATGAAAGGCTTTTTGAGTCTCCGAGGTATGGTCTTGTCGGAACGGTTCTTGCTTCTTTATACCCTTCTGGCTGTGGCTTCGTGCCAGGCAACCGGTACAGCAGAGTCGGCGCGGCCCAGACGAAGCATGCCCCGCGCTGACACAACGCTGTCACTTCCGCTGACAAAGGGCGCGGCGCGCGCGTGGGCGAGGTCAGAACCTCCCCCGCCCTCGCGCGGCCCCGCGGCCCGTGTCGCTGTCACGCGACTCGGCGAGCGAGCCATGCGCCACGCCCATGCGGGGCACCCACTGCCGAGCGAAGTGCGCACGGAGCCTGAGCGAGGGCGACGAGTCGCCCACTCGCGCGGGCCCCAAAAAATCGCGCCGCGTCAGGGCGGGAGCGCAACTTTCAGGCGAAATCTGCGCGGCGCCGAGGCGAGAGCTACATTTTCGTCCGCGTAGAGTAGAATAGAGCGGGGAAGAGCAGAATAGGGTTGTGTAGCGCACGCTGAATAGAACAGGGTAGAGGAGAGCAGGGTAGAGAGCTCCTAAACGCATCCCCCGGGGGGGCCTGGAGACTCTCCAGAGCCCCAAGACGCGTCACGACGCGTCAAGACGGCCCAAGACAGCCAAAACGAAGCGCCCAGACTGACCCAAGATAGCCCCACGGCCTTAAGCGAAAATCGTCCCATCCCCGTCGGGAAACGTACATTTTCAGCACGCTCGCCTGTTGCGTCCTCGGAACGTCCAAAAAGGCGGAAGAGCTCCGAAGATCGTCCCAAATTCGCCCCCCAAACACGGCCCAGGGTCACTACCGGTTCGAACCCCTCCCCCCCCCTTAGTCCATCATAAAAAGAGGGGGGGTACTACCAATTCGAACCCCCACCCTCCCCCTCCCCTCGAAAACCGGGGGGGGTCACTACCGGTTCGAACGCCCCCCCCCCCCCCATCCGGAAAACCCGGGGGGGTCACTACCGGTTCGAACCCCCCCCCTCTCGCCGCCGGCAAACGATTCCCGCTCCTCGGGACAGTTGGACAATGGTGGGGATGCTGGGACAGTAGTGGGAAAGGTGGTGGTGGGGACAGTGGTGCGGGGACAGTGGGACAGTGGTGCGGACAGTGGTGGGGACGGTGGTGGTGGGGACAGTGGTGAGGGGACAGCGGGACAGTGGTGGGGACAGTGGGACAGTGGTGGGGACGGTAGCGGTGGGGACACTGGTGAAGGCGGTGGGGAAAATGGTGGGGACAGTGGAGACGGTGGGACAGTGATGGGGACAGTGGGGACGGTGGGACAGCACGGTGGGACAGCGGCGGGGACGGTGGGACAGTGGTGGGTACAGTGGGGACAATGGGACAGTGGTGGGGACCGTGGGGAAAGTGGGGAGAGTGGGACCGTGGTGGGACAATGGTGGGACAATGGTGGGGAGAGTGGGGACAGTGAGACACTGGTGGGGGCGCTGGTGTGGACAGCAGGGACAATGGTGGGAACAGTGGCGACAGTGGGACAGTAGTGGGGACGGTGGTGGTGGGGACAGTGGGAATGTGGTGGAAACAGTGGGACAGTGGAGGGTACAGTGGTGGTGGGGACAGTGGTGAGGGCGGTGGCGAGGACTGCGGTGGGATAATGGGACAGAGGTACAGTGAGGCCAGTGGTGGGGACAGTGGGGACAGGTGGTGGGAACAGTGGTGGGAACAGTGGGACAGCTCAGTGGGACAGCGGCGGAAACAGTGGGACAGTGAGACAGTGGGGACAGTGGGACAGTGGTTGGGGCCGTGGAGAAACTGGGAATATTGAAATCGTGGTGGGAACAGTGGTGGGGACGGTGGGGACAGTGCGACAGTGGTGGGGGCACTGGTGGGGACAGTGGGGACGGTGGTGGGAACAGTGGGGACAGTGGTGGTGAGGACAGTGGTGCTGGGGACAGCAGTGGGGGATGTGGTGCGGACGGAGGTAGAGACCCGGGAGTCGTTTGCTGGCGTTGAGCGGGGGGGGGTGGGGAGGGGTTCGAACCGGTAGTGACCCCCCCCCGGTTTTCGAGGGGGGATAGGGTGGGGGGGGGTTCGAACCCGTAGTGACCCCCCCCAGTTTTCAAGGGGGGGGGTTGGAACCGGCAGTGACTCCCCCCGGTTTTCTGGAGGGGGAGGGGGGGGGGAGGGGGAGGGGGGTCGAACCGAACCGGTAGTGACCCCCCCCCAGTTTTCCGGAGGGGGGGGGGTTCGAACCCGTAGTGACCCCCCCCAGGTTTTCCGGAGGGGGGGGGGGGGGGGCGGGGTTCGGACCCGCAGTGACCCCCCCAGTTTTCCGGATGGGGGGGGGTTAGGGGAGGGGGGGGTTTTGCCGGGGGAAGGGAGGGGGGGGGGTCGGGGGGGGGGGGGGGAGAGGGGGATTTTCGGAGTGGGGGGAGGGGGCCCCGGGGTTCCGGAGGAAGAGGGGGGAATTTTCCACAGTAAAGCGGCGGTGGATCGCGCTCTCTCAGATGCCTCGACAAATGTTCTAAGACGACGCTGGGAAGCATTCCCAAACACTCCAGCATGCCTCCAAAAGGCGCCCCAGACGTTTCCTTCAAAAAAGCACGGGCATCCAAGAAGCCTCTGCCCCACAAGCCACAGGTGGCGGCGGCAGATACCAACACCTGCAGCATTGCCACACGCTTCTGCCAATATGTTCGTTTTTTGCATCTGCGGCTTCTGGCCCCGCGCCACGGCTCAAAAAATGCTTCGCGCTAGCTGAGACCAGCCCGACGCGCCGTGTCGTTTCCCTCATCATGTTCACTCTGCGCGTATTCCTCCTCGTCGTCGTGCCCCTCCTCCTTTACTCTCCTCCATTTCTTCTCCGCCTCCTCTTATACCGTCTCCTGCGCATGATCGTCATCCCCCACTCTGCTTGCTTCGTGGCCTCCTCCCCCTCCTCCTCCTTCTCCTCCTCCTGACCCTCTTCCTCCTGTTTTCCCGGCGCAACTCCATGCGTTCCTCCTACTCTTGGACACTGTCCGGCAGGTCCGCAAACTGTCAACCTCGGCCTGCCCACGAGCGCACCCACCAGAAGCGTAGAAGCACACGAATTCAGTCTCTTTACTACGCGCTGCGTCAGCTTCACGCCAGCACCCTGCACCGCACCCACCTCCATTTCACAGGGGGCGCCATATGCCGCACGCGCGGGTAGATAAAAACTTCCTGGGCTCCTTCCTCGGTCTGGTGGTCGGCGGAATGGAGTAAACCCGCAGAGTAGAGTCGAATAGAGTCGAGTACAATAGAGTAGAGCAGAGCAGAGCAGAGCAGATCAGAGCATAGTAGAGTACAGTACAATAGAATAGAGTAGAGTGGAGTAGAGTAGAGTAGAGTAGAGGTAGGCGTAGGAGTAGGAGTAGGAGTAGGAGTGGAGTCAAGCTAGCCAGCTCGAGCGAGTCAAGCATGGCATGCCCAGCCCCACCCGCCCTCCAACAACAAAAGAAGCAAAGCTGGCACAACTGGGGGCCGAAGTCACACCAGCCAGCCGGTTTGGTACAGCTGATGCGGCCGCGATGGCGGTTGCCGACGGGAACTGGCGAGCGCGTGTTGAATGCCGCGCACGCATTGCCAGACGAGTCGAGAATGGCCCGGTACACCGCAGGAAGCCAGAGGTGGCCGGAGGAAGCCCGACGGTCTGACAGGACACCCCAAAGCATTTTTGTGAAAAAGCATTGGGTTTTTGATGTTTTTATGTTGAAATGCTTGCAAACACACGGTGTTCGGTAGGATTCTGA